CACAGGAGAAATGTTATCCTCATTTCACAAGCTGTGCATCTGCCCAGGGCACGGAAAAACCCAGGAAGGCAACCATTTTATGCAAGACTATTTGTAACGTAAATGCAAACGGCTTTTAATCATGTAAATACCTTCCGATTCACAGGGAAGGCTTGTTCATGTTATTCCAGACTAACCAGACTACACAGCACTTCCCTTCTGAGGCAATAACCGATCCACCAGCAGGTCAGCAAGTTCTGCTGACAGCAAAGCATCACCTGGCATTCGGAAGAACCTCTTTGAACCATCAGGATGAATATAAATGGAATGGTCATGTCAACAGGGAATGCCTTCACATCAGAACAGGCTTTCTTCCCGTGAAAAGAAGTTACAAGAGATTTACACATGAATAATGACAGTGCCTTTGCACAACCGATCAGGCCAACAGTGAGGATAGGTCTGGGAAAGCTGGAAGAGTTACTCCAAGCTGGAAGAGAAGTCTATGGCTATGAACAACATCTAGATTTTTATAGCAAGCTCAGAGCTGGAGTTTCCCCACTAACCTGGAGGCAGGAAAGCAGAGCAGCCCAGCAGCACAAGAGCGTCTCTGTTCTGCGGAACACTCACCCATGCTTCCGCGGCAGTCGAGGATTTTGAATCCGCTCTGCATGCAGGCTGCCAACAGCACGAAATCACAGCTTGGGTGCCACTTCAGCCTCCAAACTCCGCCTTCAACGTGAGTGTCTGCCAGCGGCTGCTTCATGTTCCTGGTGTCCCATAACAGCACGTGCTCGTCGTAGCTGGAGAGACACCACAAAGAGATATGCAGACAAGCTGCAAAGCTGACTCAGCACAACAAGAACAGAAGAAAATCCTACAGGAAAGATGGCACGCTCTTCACCACACTCGGTGTTTGAAGAGACCACACCTTGGGCAGCAGTAGCACGTTCAAAATAACAGAAGAGGCTGGTCACACGAGTGAAGAGCAGCTAGAGGGATTTACCTGCCAGTAGCCAGGAGATTCTCCCGGTGGGGACTGCACTGAATGCTGCACACACCCATCGAGTGTCTGCAAAACAGTAATACACAGCAGAGGGAAGAGACAGCAATGTGCAATTTGAGAAGGTATTCTTCCTCGAATTTCAAGGATTTTGGTTCCACAAAACTACATCAAGGTGTCTCAGGAAAGGAGAGCAAGGTGAGCTCAAATTTCAGTCCAGTGAAATATACAGGCAGAGTTCCACCTACACAGTCCAACAGCTGTTCCAAGACAAAACTTCATGGCCTCTCAGCACGAGTATTTTCTAGTAATAGTTGTACCATAAACTGCTGTTCAGAGCCCACAAGAATTTCAGCACAACTCCATTCCCACAAGGCTTTACTCCCAACATTAATATTTCCACAGCAATAATCCCCAGTGTATTTTAAGGTTCCATATAAAATTTCAATGGAAAGTTGTGTGTATTGTTTCAATCATATACTGAAGATATGTTATGCCACCAGAAAAAAGAGATTACTTCAAATGAGTGAACAGTGGAGAACAAAATATTTTCTAGAAACCATTCCATAATACGATAACCAAATTTAACACACCTAAAAATTCCCCAAAATAAAAATGTAAATCAGGATCCATCTTTTAGAAAGAAGCTACCACCATCTTCACGTGTGGAAGTCAGCTCTTGGTTTATTACACTGAAGGACACAGAGAAGAAAGTTTCAACCTGAAATTGTCCAGATGAAAAAAATCTAATAGCTGTCTCCACCCTCCAAGGGAGGCAGAAACAGGACTCCACTGTCACTGCACAGCTCTGAACTTGGCTTGGGAAGGGACATGGTACCACCACATGCTCCTACACGATGGCTGAAAGTCCAGCTGCAGACACGGCTCCTTACCTCCTGCAGGTGAAGACAGGAGTCTCCGGACTGCATCTGGTGTCCCAGCCCTTCAGCAGGCTGTCATCTCCTCCTGCACAAAGACAAACCATCGTAGCCCTGGACACATCCAAACGACCAGCGCAGATGCAATTAACACCAGTTTTCAGCCCGAGGATCTCATGGCATTTAACGGACACACCAAACATCACCTGCAGGACTCGCCACCACAGAACAGACATGCATAAACGATGCCCTCACTTTGCTAAGCAAAAAAATTTAGAAGAAAAAGAGACTGGACTCCAGAAGCTCTCTGCTTTCTTTTGCTCACCGCAAGAGATTAACACCTTTTTTGCCAACAGCCAGCCAAAGTACAGTTTAAAAGGCACAGCTTCTCCTAATTAACTCCAACCACTTCCCACAATCAAGAAGCCTTCTACCCCTAGCAGAAGCTCCAACTCTTAGAAGCAGTGTGATCCAAGCAGTGTACCGAACCCTGGAAAGTAAAACCCCAAGGAACACACATCCCCAAAGAAGGTGCTTTCTCCCCAATGCCCCCAAATGAGATCCCCAGCCCTTACAGACCTGAATACACAATATCGGTGTTCCAGTAATTAAAAGCAGCAATCCAGGCCTCAAATTTGTGAGCTTCCCACTGGTTCAGGACATGCACAGAAGGAGCTGATTCATCTATGGAGAAAAGATTCAGCTTCCCCTCTGAATCACTGTTGATCACTCTCAAAGGACATCCACTGCAGTGGAACACAGAAAAAACACTGGAAATTACTGAAACTCGTGTCCTGAGAAGCTGATAGAGTGAAAAACAGCAGCCAAAGTACGGACAGATAACGTAACATACTACTGGGTATGTTTGGTTCAACTAAACACTGATTGGTAGCACAGCAGAAGGCGTGCACACGTTTATACAGTTCTTTGAGCTTCAGCCCATCCCATCTCAAAATCACCGACATCAACGATGGCCATTCCCTGATCCCACAGTGGGAACAAAACCTCACACCCACGTGAGGGAAAGAAAACCAGCCTTGGGTCTGGCTGTCTCCTAGGCACATAACTTGGCTTCGCACATGCTTGACATTATATCAACAAATTCCACGTGAAGAGGGATTATTTTTTTTTCCCTCTAAGTCAGACTAACAAGGACCTCTCAGTCTCTTCCCTCTTTTGGAGTATGAAGAACCATTTTATTTCCCTGCTGTCACAGCCACCTGAAGGACTGGCTGATCCTGACCTTTCCTGCTCTCTTCCTGTGGCACAGCAGAGTTGCAGTTTCTGGACAGTGTTCTTGGAGCACTGGCAAAAGTTTTGCAGCTCACCACGCACAGATGTTTCCACGTTCCCTGACATGAACTAGGTACCTTCTGTGTGGTTATCTGCAGCCACAGGTACTGATTTGGTGACTCGGGGCTTCTTTCCAGTTCTACATCACGTGCTAGTTACTAAACCGAACCGAACCTCCCAAATTTCCACACAAGAGAGACAGGGTCAGGTCACCCTGTTCCTACAGAGATGTGAAGGCTGCACATCCACCTTCTAGAAGGGGTTATTTGTCTCTCAAGTGACAACAGTGACAGGCTTTAAAGGAACTTTTCATCACAGCAACGACCATTTACCATGAAGGGCAGAGACAAATTGAAGAAGGACTGTAAGGAAGAAGAAAGTAGAACTGGGAACTATACTTATTCATTAAACAGCATGCACAGAAACAGCTGCAATTAGCAAAAGCTACTAAATATTTGCCCTACAGTGCACAGCACTGCCTGATCTCCCAGGTTCCAGCCTCACACCACAGGCACCAGTCTCTGTTTTGCACTTAACTTACAGAAAACACATACCCTCTCTCTTTCAAGGTACAGCTAACTCATTATTTCATGCAGCGATGCCATTTCTGAAATCAAACGTATGAGCGAGGACGGAGCCACTTCCAAAGCAATTTTCTCCCGTTTCTCCCTAACTCACGTTTATAAACTTCCCACACGTGCTACTATTAGCAGTTCTTAGGCAGAACTTCACACTAAAATTTCAGACACTCTAAGAGCAGAGTTGGAACCAGTGGATCCGCTTCCATCCTACGCTTGTCTTTCCCTTTAGCAAAGGCACCAGAAGACACATCCCTGGCTCACCTGCTGCTGTTCACCACAGCATAACCTCACATTTGTTGTTGGTTTAGTCTCTGTTCCAGTGGCCACGGTGTGTGTTCCCGTTCCCTTGTTACCCTTGCCCTGGAAGCAGTAACTTCCTGAGAAGGTGCAAAGAGACAGCTGGGACCAAGAAAGTCTTAAGCCACTGCACAAATCATCCAAGTCCTCAACTTATGCCTGAAAACTGTCACACACACATGGACCTCCAACACCAGCCTTCATCTCCCATCCTCACCATTGCTCTCGTCCTGTGGACCAGTCTAAAGACAAGGCCAGACGCTGTGCCCCGAGATCGACCCTGAAGCACGGCTCCAACATGCAGCTGTTCTTCTACTGGAAAGAAAGGGAAGGGGTTAAGACTGGGAAGACAGCAGGTGTGTAACACTTGTACTGCTGACTCCTAGCAGGTGTTTTCCAGAGACTGACACGCGCATTAGGGTCCCACACTAACGAAGAGATAAAACATCCTGTAGCAACGTGTACTTGCTTGGTACCAGCTGAAGGACAAACCTTTGCACACACAGGATCCCCACCCTTCCGCTATCCATCCCCCACCAAATCACCCTTCCACTTCGCTTCCTTTCAGTGGGTGAAGTGCAGGAGAAGCAGTGACCTCACTGCTGAATTCCCTTACAGACCGGCTTCCACTTTCTTCACTCTGTGGAATGGCTCTCTTGATCACTCCCTTCTCTCACCAACTGAAAGAAATCCCTCTCCAAAATCCTTCCCTTTTTTTAACAACTCTGCATCTTCTTCTGTGTTTACCAGGTAGTCCATACTTATTCTCAAGTGACAATTGTCAGGGTTTGCTTCTGCTCCCCTCATGCCTCTCGTCTCCCACACTCTGCAGGGGGGCAGACCCCAGCCAGTCTCCCTGGTTCCAGGAACAAATTCGTGAGATTTATGAGAAACATTATGAGAAGACAAAAGAAGTGTTTAAAAAGCTAAGCATTCCGAGGAAGCCATGGAAACCATACAGCTTTCCTACACGTCTCTGAACACTGCTAAAAAATCCCGAGATGTATTAAATTTGGGTTAAGCGCAGCTTCAACAGCAGCAGGTGTTACAGCCACCTACCTCGCTCCCAGTCAGGTGGCAAAACTCCACGGCGCCTGTCGAGTTTGCAATGCCAACCATGGGATGTTCCGCAACGGGAATGTGGCACCTAAAAGATCAAGTCAAACAAGCCTTGAATTTCCAT